ATTCCTGCTTTTTTTTGGCTTGTGGGTTTTAGAGTGATTATTTCTTCAATACGTACGTGATGACTCCTGAAACGCCTCTGAATGGAATCATAGGATGGAGGCGTTACTAAAAGCAAAATATCATTCATCTTGTGAAAGAGAGGGCTGTGATATACTGTCTGCTGTTGCTTCATGCAAGGATCACTGATTAGAGACCATCAAATTCCAAGCCAAGCTGTCTTGTCATAACAGTTCACATGTGCAAAGGATGACAGTTTTGATGACGGTGAATACGTGGTGGTATTATTGCTCTTCACTTACTCCATTGCTTTGCTGCTTTCTGAGAGCATCTGCAGTTCCTGCTGGAGTTGAGGGGAAGAGGAAACACTGACCAGGATATTGCTGCTGCACTGGCATCCTCTACGACCAGGGAGGAATCTTTTCTCTGTGCCAAAGCTGTGAATGAGACCATTTAAAAATGGTTTCTCAGAAAGTTTTTCACTTACCTGTGTAGTTTTCCGTAAGTGCTCTGTAGTATCTCACTGTTGCCTATTGACTGGAAATGCTTGCACACACTCAGAGGGATCCTCCTCGCGAGTTGGTGACACCACAGAGCTTACTTGGGTGACATAGACTTAGGTTTAGTGGCAAAGGGAGTTGGGATTATGTTAAAATTTCAACATACAATCCACAGGTCTAAGAGATCTGAAAAAAATTCTTAAGAAAAACAAACGTTAAATTGATTGTACAGGAATTTACACCACAGCTCGGTTTGAAGGATACTGCTGCAGTACGTTGAAGGCTTTAACTGAACAAAATAGTTGCTTTGTTAAGATCAGACCTGTTGTGTGTTTAGATGTTTAGCTCTTAAATTAGCTTGGCAAAGCTAGATCTAACAGAAAGCATTTAAAATGGGTCATATTAACTTGTAAAAATATATACTTCAGCTAGGTGAAAACTGTTCAGTAAATCTGCTTTTTCTTGTATAAATAGAACTGTAGCTTTTTAGTAAATGCCTTGAGATGAGTCTTACACGGTTTGTATAAAAGGAACTCACCCAAAAAGTACGTGGACATCCACAGTATAATGTGCTTCTCCTCTGCTTTCCTTGCTTTTAGCTTCCCCAAACCCAGAAGTCATCAAGATCAGTTCTGTGTTGGATATAGCACCTAAGGTGGAAGAGTATTACAGCAGAGGATATGTCGTAGGAGCAGTTCATCCTATTTTACTGCCAATTGGACGTAGAAGGAATTTCCCAGCGAGTCACATGTATCGAGTGGTACTTTCACGATTAAAATTGAGGTAACGGTGAAATAATTTGGATACATTGATCCATTACTTAAGCCATTTTTAGTGAATTCCTCAACAGGCGTCGTTTATTATCAGCTTGAACTGAGCACCTCAGAGAATCCTTTTCCTTGTCTGGAAAGGTGAGCAGGTTTTTTTAATTAACGCTGAGAATACCATAGGCTAATGTTTGCTTTGCCTTAGTAAATGTCCAAACAAAAATTGAAAGTTGCATATCGTAATTTGTGGCAAGATAAATTTGTTAGTTTGCTCCTTTTTTTCTTTAATAAATTTTTTAAATAAAGTTTCTTCTGTCTTAGAACCTGCAAGAAATAAAGTTTAAAAAGAAGAAATAATGTTTAAACCCATACAAGAGTAATAATCTGCTTTAAATTCTCTCTTATCTGTGGGGTTTGGGGTTTTTTTTTTCATTTTCAAATTGTACATGTTTTCACTTTTCGCATAAGAGCACTATTCAGAGAAGACGACGTATCAAGTGTGAATTAGTTTATTTTTCCTTCTTAATAAGGTGAAATAATCATTCTGTCACTGAAGGTCATACAGAAGTTTGAATTTGACACTGAGTCAAGAGTTTGTTCCTTCTCCATAGCCTTGTTGATTTCTCTTGTTTTCACTGCGCTGTGATCGTAAAGAAAGCGCAGAAAGACATTTTACCATTAGTTCCTTTGAATGCCAGGACGATCGCCTTTTGTTCTTATTTTGACCGACCAGAAGAGTGGATTTCTTACTGCATCAAGAGCTGTCATGCTTCCCCTTCGCTCAGGAGTCCTAGTGCAGTGCACAGAGGTTCTTCTTGCCTTTGTGGGATCCTTATGA